TTTTAAATGTGTAAATTCTACAACGATTAATTGAATCTCTGTTTTTCCCCAACTTTGCCCTCTCAGCACTGTTTGACTGCATTTGGAGGCATCATTGCCATCCCTTTGATTCTGTCCCAGGGACTGTGTCTGCAGCACGATGGCCTCACACAGAGCCATCTCATCAGTACAATCTTCTTGGTTTCTGGGGTCTGCACTCTGTTGCAAGTAGTCTTTGGCATTAGGTAAGGAAACAAGAAGGAACATTACTTATTGAAAACCAGGCTGTAAGACTGCGTGGCCGTCTGCATCTGTGGGATGTCTCCTGGGGATATGCACTAGGAATTTCTGCAGTCGTGAATTATATTGTGGGATTCTGGAGTGCTTTATATTTCTTTTATTTAATGCAAGATGATTTACATTAATTTATTGTTCATTTGGGGCTTTTTGATGTTCTGAGAGTATTTGTCCAACGCAGTGGTACAGCAGGATGGAATTAACTAAGCTTCTTCTTATTAAACAGCCAGAACAGAGAAGCCATTCTGCCTTACTTCTTAACCTCTTTTGAACTATTATGCCTGCCACAATGAATGTGCATGAACACCGAGTAGTATTTGAAAGCTTCATGGAGGTGAAATAAGTCCATTTGAGCTTTTATGCTGTACAGAACTCAGCTTTTATTGTCAAATAAATAGTATTTAGTTGTTTTGCTAATTAATTTCTGCTTAAAATACCAGTATGGAAACTTCCTTGTAAACAGTGACACATGCACAGGAGAGCAAACATGATGTCTCTGTTCTGGAGGCCTACAAACTTGTCTGTTGTTGCTCTGAACTTCTGCTATGTGGTTGCAGACTCGGCCTGCCTGAATACTGGTGTCACAGATGGATTAACGGAGGAATTTCTATCTTATTATGTTTGGAATCTACTTCCTGCTAAGTCCACATTGTTCTGGATTAGCACCACTCATGCTTTCTTGTCTTTCCCAAAATGTCTGCAAGTCAGCTGTGAGGGAAAACAAGCCTCGCACTTAGTGGTGCTTTTAGTGTCCCGTGCAAAACAAAGGAAAGCGGAGCTAATCTGATGCGTCCACCAGAATGCAAACTTTCCGATGTTTCATCAAAAGAAATGTTTGCATGTTTTGTTTTTCACGAGAAAACGTCTCTTCTTCTGCGACGTGTGTGAATGATGCACTGCTTATGAGAATAGCATAATGAGGGTCATTACGTAGCAGATTATTTTAACTGACTTAACTTTCAGTCGAACAGTTTGCATAATAAGTCACACTCTCTTCACATGATTCAAATAAATAGA